ATATCTCAAAGTATATCAATAAACTGGCATCCTGATAAATTCATCAGTCAAGCGTGTGTGCGTGTGTGTGTGTGTGTGTGTGTGTATCTCACAAACTCTGGTGCATGTAGAAGGATTGTGTTTGTAAGTGCACAAGACTTAGAAGCCCTGTTTTTCTTAGTTAATTCATCAATGAATTTCATAGTGAAAGCCTCTTGTCGGAGACCAGCCAGTCAGCTTTTTCCTTGACTAGAGCACTATTCATTTAAAGCATAAATGAATGTAGAGGATAGTCGCGCATATTTACGTAGAGTATAAAGTAGAGGATATCCTCTACTTTATACTCTACGTAAATATGCGCGACTATCTTATAACAGGATGAGACATGCAGGAACATGGTAAAGATATCAGCAAATCCAATTTCATGAGGGTGAGCACTACAACTCACTAGCAATAAAAGTTTTGCTCTCTTTTTTTAAAAAATATTTATTTATTTATTTAGGCTGTGCCGAGTCTTAGTTGAGGCACATGAGATCTTCGTTGTGGCATGCGGGAGCTTTAGTTGTGGCATGCGGGATCTTTAGTTGCAGCATGGGGGAATCTTTTAGTTGTGGCATGAGGACTCTTAGTTGCGGCATGCATGTGGGATCTAGTTCCCCAACAAGGGATCAAACCCGGGCCCCCCGCATTGGGAGCACAGTCTTACCCACTGGACCACCAGGGAAGTCCCAGTTTTGTTCTCTTTTAAGACTAATTTTCTAAAATGTTTTCATTACAAAATACCCTCCTCCATCCATTAATTATCTTGTGTTTTTGTAAACAACAGGTAAATATGCAACACCTTTGAAAATTCTGGCATTACATTTTTCTTCCATTCATTCTTTCATCAAGTATTTATTAAGTTCATTCTGTCAGACACTGTACTTGGAGCTGAAGATATGCAAAAATTGGCACAGCTGCTGGTCTGGCCTGCTTAAGCTTTAGAAGCAGACACACTTAAGTCAAATTATCACACTGACAATCGTAAAACTACATCTGTAACTTATTAGCAAGTAAAGTATACAGCACAATAAGAGTATGCAATAGGGGCATTTAATCAGATCAGGGAAACTCTCAGAAAGTGATATTTCAGCTAAGATCTACAGGAACAGGAGTCAAAGACTAGGCTAGAACAGTCTGGATAAAGAAAACAGTACCATACTCACTGTCTCTAGCTCTTCTACTCTCTCAAATAAAACACTCTTCTGGCTTTTCTACCCTTTACCGCACTGAAACTGCTCTCAAGATCCTCAATGAGCTCCACATAACTGTATGCAGTGATCAGCTATCCTCATCTCACTTGACCTAGAGCAGCATTTAACATAACTTAGCATTCCTTCCTCCTCAACCACTTTCACTTGCCTTCTAGGATGCCACACTCTAGGTTTTTCTCTCAGTTCACTGGCAAATCCTGCATAGTTGCAGATAAATCCAAATCGACCCAAACTCCATGGAGTGCCTCTTTTTGTGATACCAGCTATTCTCGGTGTTTATCTACTATCAAAACACTACTATGAAGCTTAAAATTATATCTATAGGCAGATCTTTACCCTCATCTCTGGACTCATTTATTGAACTGCCTGCTCCACACCTCTACTGTAATGTCTTAGAGGCATCTCAAACGTAACACGGCCAAACTAAACTCCTGATTTACCCTGCTACCCCAACATACAAATCTGGAGACTTTCCCATGACACTGAATGGTAATTCCCTCCTAGTTGCTCAAGCTAAAAACTTGTAATCATCTTTGACTCTTTTACTCTCACACCTTATATCCAATCTGTCAGCAAACCTGTTGGCTATCTTTCATAATATATCCAGACTCTGGCCTCTTCCCACTGCCTCCACTGCTATCGCCCTGGCCCACTACCACTACCATCTTTCACCTGGACTATTACCTTACCTTCCTATTTAGTGTCTCTGCTTCTATGCTTGCTTCTCCATGGTCCATGATCAACACAATTTAAAAGAAGTAATCAATTTAAAAAGTCAGATCATGCAACCCATCTGCTCAAAACCTTCCAATGGCTTCCTATCTCAATCAAAAAAGTCAAAGTTCTTTCAATCACCTACATGACCTCCATCCTCTGTGATCTCATGTTATTCTCCTCTCCTGCCACACTGCTATTTGTCAAATGTGAGGACCCGCAGGCCTTTGCACTGGCTGTTCTCTTCACAGAAACGTTCCTCCTCCAGGCATCTGCATGACTTACTCCTCCTCCTACTTCTGATCCCCTCAAATGTCCCCTTCTTGATTAGGTCTTCTCTGACCACCTTATTTAAAAGTGAACCTTGCCTCCCAAAACCTGGCACTCTCCATCCCCCTTCTGAGTTGGTTCTTATTTTTCTCCACTGCATTTGTCTTCATTTACTATACATGTCAATATTTATTGTCTATCCCTCCTTAGTAGAATGTAAGATTATGAGAGTAGGGACTTTTGTACATTGTGCTCAGTAGTGTAACCTCAATGTCCTGTTATATAGTAGCCACTCAACAGATATTTGTTGAGTGAACAAATGGATAAAAAGGAATATGAGAACCAGTGACTGAAGAAAGATCTGTATGGCTGAAGCACAGATAGGTGGAGACTGGTAGACTAAGTGAGGCTGGAAAGGTGGAAAGGGACAAAATGACATTAGGCTTTATAAAGAAATTTTGCCTTTAAGATTAAGGCAGGACATCACTAAATGGTTTAAAGAGAAATCTGAATTTTGAAACAGTTATTCTGGCTACTGTTTGGAGAACTAATGGAGAAAGGCCAGAGTGAATAATCACTATTGCAATCGTCTTGGCAAGAGATTATGGCAGTTTAGAAAAGACTGTGCTTATGTAGATGCACGGAAAAGGATGGATTTGAGGGATATTTGGGAGATAAAATTGATAAGGCTTAATAATAATTTGGATACAGAGGTATGAAGGACATTAAGAAAGACACGGGTTCGAGCCCTGGTCTGGGAAGATCCCACATGCCGCAGAGCAACTAAGCCCGTGCACCACAACTACTGAAGCCCGCGCGCCTAGAGCCCGTGCTCCACAATAAGAGAAACCACTGCAATGAGAAGCCCGCGCACCGCGACAAAGAGTAGCCCCCGCTCGCTGAAACTAGAGAAAGCCCACACGCAGCGACGAAGACCCAACGCAGCCAAAAATAATAAATTTATTTAAAAAATAATAATAATGCATAGATTTCAAATTTTCATCATAAGTGGATGGTAGTGCCTTAAAGTGAAGTAGGGAACACTGGAAAACAATCAGATTCACAGGTGAAAACCATGCATTTGGTTTTAGGCATGTTGAATTTGAGGTACTTTTGAGATATCCAAGAAATATCAAGAAGATGTATATAAGAAAGCTGAAAAAGGTGAAGCTAGATGGAGCTATACATTTAAGAGTCATAGGTGGTGGCAAAACCATGGCTATGAATGCGATCATATTCAATTACACAGCAAAAAGGAGACTCGGACTTAAGAAGCTACCCTATGGGCTTCCCTGGTGGCGCAGTGGTTGAGAGTCCGCCTGCCGATGCAGGGGACACGGGTTCGTGACCCGGTCCGGGAAGATCCCATATGCCGTGGAGCGGCTGGGCCCGTAAGCCATGGCCGCTGAGCCTGCGTGTCCGGGGCCTGTGCTCCACAACGGGAGAGGCCACAACAGTGAGAGGCTCGTGTACCACAAGAAAAAAAAAAAAAAAAAGGAAACTACCCTACCCTTTGTGGGCTGGACAAAGGGGGATGGGCCCCTAAAAAAAAAAAAAAAAAAGGAATGGCTTTTTTGGTTTTTGAAATCATACTCATAAGAAGTTCTCATTTTTTAAAATTCTGATTTAAACCAGTAACATTAGACTGTCAAAGGCTTTCCAAATTAAACCAATTCATCAGAACTATAAATCTGTTCAAGGATAGATGACTTTCAGAAACTATCTGGAAAATTCACAGTACCTTTCTCTTTGCTGCTTCAAAGTACATCAATACACAAAAAGCTATCCCTCTCAAAATATGTATGATTTTGGCTTATTGCAGTTTCCTGAAATTATCTTCTCTCTCTCACTCAGGGCCTCACCATATGCTATTCTTTTGGCCCTCTTTCCCTGAGATGAAGATTTTCCTGACTTCCCAAGACTGGGCTTGGGAAGCCCAGTGATAGCTGGGCTCACCCCATTGGGATGATAGCCATCCCAATGATATAGTACTATATGTTTAATGTGTGTACTGTGTAGTATGTTTAACCATTAGTTTAACTAGATAACAGTCTTTTCCACTGTTGTATACTTAGTACCTAACAAGGCTAAGTTTTAAGAAACCCATCTATTCTGCAACGTGAAGGATTAAAATCTAATTTGGTTTTCAGTCCATTGACAACACTTCAAACGTCGACTTTCCTCAAGAGGAATGACTTTTTAAAATCAAACAGTAATTTGTAAACAACTGATTGAATCTTTAAAAATACTAAATTTTGGAGATTTTTATATGTCTTTTTTCATATTGTATCCTTAAAGCCTGCAAAAATTCATATTTAGGAATACCGGGGATTCTTTCTCCTTTAGTCTCATACAAAAGGGATTTGACAACTCTCTTTGAAAGCCTGGCTTGCGGTGACATTTGACTGAGCAAATAAACCACACCCCTGTGCAATGGCAAACAAAGGTGAAATTGCATAGGGGTACCTAATCCATGCCGCGCGAGCCCACTTGAGAGAGCAGAAGCAGAGGCAGCAGCGCGGAGCACCCGGTTCCACAGCATCCTCCTTGCCTGGCCTTATGCTGCACCCTCCGACCCTCAGGATAGTAACCATTCCCAAATTCTCGCCTCAACGCGCCCTCGGGATTGGGCACCCGGACTAGTCCTTCCCACGCAGATTACTAACAGAAGTCCCTGGACTAAGGATACAGCCCTAGATGGCTTGGTTTCTAAAATCCCAGAGGAAATGAAGGAAGGAAAAATCCTGTCAAAGGAAAAGTGGCAACCAAGCCCACAGTGCTCACCAAACCGACGCTCTCAGTCAATCTCCGTCAACGCTAACCGTTGGCTCGCAGGCCGCCACAGGCTACGTCGCAGTGGCTCACGGGGGCGGTAGTTTCTTTCGCAAACAGAACGCGCCGGGGGCACCAAAACTATACTTCCCAGAAGTCAATGCGAGTACGCCCTGCTTTCTTAAGCCTGGGTTTAGCGTAATAAAGAGACCGTTTCTATTTTTAGGCTGACCTTAAATTTAGATTCAAGAACTTCCAGGTGTACGTCTGTGCTACACTCTCTGCCGTGCTTGTGTACTTCAGCTGTCCCTTATTTTCCTTTCCCCTTGTTCAGGCCAAAGAATCCAAACCTCAGAGCACCTAAAACGCCTCCCGGCGCAGCTTAACTGCCTTTTCAGGCGCATGCGCGCTGCCCGCCGTCACGCAAGCGTAACGGCCGGCAGCGGTTGGCGGCCGCGCGCGGACTTGGGGTCTGGAGGTAGCCCGTGGGAGGGCGGGGTTTTTTCCAATGGCTTTGCCTCCGCGGGTCGCGTCTGCTTGGGCGGGGAACAGGGCGCAGGGGCGGGGGCGGCTCCTCATTTGTGCCGGGCGGAGAAAGGGGAGGGGCTGGGGGGTGAGGACCCCATCTTCCCTCCCCGCTCCCGCCCTCTGGGCCGAGCCCCACCGATGGGGCTGGGCGAAGGGGCGGGCTCTGCGCCGTGGGCCCAGCCGCTCCACCAGCTTCGCTGCCCAGCTCCGCGCTCGGGGATTGCGGGGCCGCCCTGTGCCTGTCTGGCCTGGCGGGCGGTGGGCGAGGACGCAAGGATTGGAAAAGAAACGGCATCTGCCCGGGGAGTCCGGAACCGGCAGGCCGGAGACGCTTTCCCCCAACGCCACCACCGAGACAGCGGCTGCACGAGGCTGCCGACCCCCCGGGAGCGCCAGGGTCTCTGGCCGCCGGGGCCAGCAAGCCAGGGTTCGGCAAGCCTTCCCAGCCAGCGCCTCGCCGGGAGGGAGGAGCTGCGGAAGGCGGGGACTGGTGCCGGAGGAGGGGCGGGATGGGAACGCTCCCGAGAACACCGTGGCTGCACAGACAAAAAACACCGAATGGCTGGTGAGCGTTCAGCTGTTACCAGCCTTTTTGGGCAGAGTACGGGTTTGACAGCTCCACAACGTGAGGATATCCGCTGACGCCGAGAGACGGAGGAGAACACTTTCCCGACACTGCCTGTCCAGCAAAGCCAGCGCTGTAAGGTTTCAACTTTCCAACTTTTTTTCTCAGTCTCTGACCAGAAGACTGCCCCTCCGGGCAGAAGGAGAGCTCTATCTTGTAGATCGAAGACACTTCTGCCTCCAAATGTCACCCAGACGTATGTTTTCATGACGATTCGAGTTCTCTGATTTTATTCTTACATTTCTCGTTTTAAAAAATGCAAAGTGCTTTGGGGGACATGCTGAAAGGTAACTGAAGACAGCAAAGAAAAAACTCCAATTGTCATGGCTGAAGGAGAGAATGAAGTGAGATGGGATGGACTGTGCAGTAGAGATTCAACTACTAGAGAGACAGCACTGGAAAACATTAGGCAGATCATTGTGAGAAAAACCGAGTGTCTTCGTTTGGTGAAAGAGACACCTTATCGTCCAGCAGACGGCCTTTCAAATGCTGTTTCTTTGGATGGATTGAATAAGCTTCTTGCTCATCTGCTTATGCTTTCTAAGAGGTGTCCCTTTAAAGATGTAAGAGAGAAAAGTGAGTTTATTCTGAAGAGCGTCCAGGTAAGAAATAGCATTATAAGTACAACTGTTTATCTAGTAATGTGAAGTTTTACTTGCAGATATTCACTTTGTATTTGCTTCAAATAGGTTGTTATAATTTGAACCACTCAACATCTTAAATTTAGACTGTTTTGTAAAACATTGAATTTGGGGTTAAAATTGGACAAGGTGAACTAAAGTAAAAGTAATTTTCAAATACAACTAAACAAGTATTGTCTTTCTAGAGAGTATTAGCAGAAATGCATCATTCCTCCATTGGGAGATTGGGATTGACATATATACACTAATATGTATAAAATAGATAACTAATAAAAACCTGCTGTATAAAAAAAATTTAAAAAGAAATGCATTCATCCTGGGCAAAATATGTGAAAATTACAGTTAATTACAGATAAATACTTACTTTTCTTTATATTCATTTTTATGTGTTGTTGGGAAGTGTAGCCAGTATGCTTTTCACATTGCTACAGTGTTCTCTGTGGAAAGTTTCACGTTTAAAACCCTCTAAAATGATAAATATTTCCTAGTCAGCTTGTTCGAGATAACTGGTGAAACAATTTCCTCTTGTTCTTAAAAACAAAGCAAAAAGCCAGAGAATCTGTTCCCTAAATGCAACCTTTTTTTCCTGAAAGAATTATATAAAATAATAAAAGCCCATGTTATAAAGGAGCTGACATCTGCAGATTGAAGAATTGGATTCAGGTTGAGTGAATGGTAGACTGTTATGGTCAGTTACTTAACTAGCTTTCTCTGTGTTTGCCTAAGTTGTTTGATTCTTTTTTTTCACATACATACCTATTTAAGTTGTGAGTGCAAAGGATAAAGGATGTTATAGTTTTCCTCCTGTTTGTACATATTCAATTTATCTTGTTTTATTAGATTTATTAGAAGGTTTTTTTAAGGGAAAGATTTTTAGATATTAAGAATTGTCAGAAATGGTCTTTAAGCTTATCAGTCTAAATTACTCAATCCACATGTGTTCAAAGTCACAGTATGAGAAGTTTTTTAAATTTATAATTTACTTGGGTATATATGTCAGCTAAGATGAACAGTTTTTCTATTCTGGTTTGAATTCAGTTTAAAGCAACAGAAAAATAATGTGTATAAAATGAACACTCTAAGATCTCTGGATATTTCTTCTCACAAACGCTGTGGAAACAATAGTTACAATTTATATTTATCCAGAGTTACTAGAGAGGAATTATTCTAGTACTTGAAGTTTACCTCTTTGAGCATCAAAAGTTATTTATCTCTTAGTGTAGTGACTACAACAACCGTTTTTTTCATAATGGGGTCATCATTATGCACATCAAGCACATACTCTTGTACAGCTGAGGGTGGAATGTATATGTAGTACTGTATGATACATTTTGTTTGAATTTGTGTGTTCAATTTTTATAGTCTTTCTGTTCCTTACCTTACTGTTGGTATACTTCACTTCAGTCTCTTCCTGAATCTTTTATTTTGCTACTTTTTTTATATTAGAATGGGAAACGAGATAACCAGTTTTGTTAAGAGTTAGATTGAAAACAAGTAATTAGGTTCTGGGGAGTACAGGGTCAAAGGACTAACATAATGGTAAGTAAAGTGGTACTGGTGTCAGACCTGGGCTCAGGTTCTCCTCCTTTATTAATATACTGCATACCCTTGAACGAGTTAAGTTACTTGACCTCTCTTAAGCTTGGATTTCCACATCTATAAAATGGTAATAATAATACAGAGGTGTATTACTATAATAAATAATATAAATTATGATAACTGAGATGTAAAGTGCCCCATATGTAATGGATGCTGCTCTCCCCTTTCATAAAAGAAATACATGGACTGTGTGATATGTATTTCAAGACTCATTCATCCTGCAAAAGGATTCAAGAATCTCTACTGTGAAGATTTCCCATCAATTTATGCCTTCTTTCTCATCTCTGCATCTATGCACATTATTCCAGCTACAATTCTAACAGGCACTTTACTTATATTGGGCTATAATCACATGTTTATGTGTCTGTCTCTCCCAGAGCCTGTGTGAGAGACAGAGCTCCTCTCCCGGAGCACAGGCTCCGGACGCGCAGGCTCAGCTGTAAGTTCTCAAGAGTGTTGACTGGGACCTGGAAGCTACTAAATAAATACTGTTTCTTAGTCTGAATAGATGAAGTTACTAGATTAGGGAGTTTTCATCCCTACATCATTCATTCATGCCTTCATTCAACAAATGTTAATTGAACCCCTGATGAATGCCATTCTAAGAACTGAGAATCAGTGGTAACAATTTTGACATTCTACTGAAGGGAGACAGACCATAAACAAATAAACAATATAATTTTAGATAGTAAAGGAAGACTTCCCTGAAGAGATGGCATTTAAGCAGAAATGAATAGATATTATCCAGGCAAAAATGAGATTTGTGAGAGGGACATTCCATGTATAGGGAATAGTGTGTGTGAAGGCCTCATGGTAAGAGAGAGCAGGTGAATTTAGGAGTGGAAAGTAATGCAGTATGGTTGGAGCATACAGTGTGAGGAGAGTGTGAAAGTTTAAGTACATGCTCTGGAGTCAGACCTGAACTCTACAGCCTTAGGTAAGTTACATAATCTCTCCTTGACTCAGTTTTCTCACCTGCAGAATGAGGGTGATGCTAATAGTTCCTGCCTCACAATGAGAATAAAATGAAATAATGCTTATAAAGCATAGCACAGTGCCTAGCACATAAGAAACACCCATAAAGTTAGGAATTCTGTTTTTAGGCAGGAGCCAGAGAACAGAGGATCTTGTGGGCCATGTTAGGAGTTGTAGGCTTTATCCTAGGAACAATGGGAAGCCACTGAGGGGTGTTGAGCAAGATGGTGACATGATACATGGTGTATTAGAAGCATCACTTTGGAAGCAATTTGAAGAATGGATTTCAGGGGTCGAGAGTGAATGTACAACAGTTAGGAGGTTGTTCACTAGTCCAAAGCAAAAATGGTGGAGTAAGATGTAGTGGGCAAAGTGGAAAAAGGTGAATAGATTTGGGAGATAGCTAGGAGTTAGAACCTATGGGGTATAGTATTTAATTGGATATAGGAGATGAGGAAAGTAAAATCAAGGATGGCTCTAAAGTTTCTACCTTGAACTCCTTGGTGAATAATTAAGTCATTTCGGGAGACAAAAGAGTGGTAGAGGGTCACTTGAGGGGAATGGTGAGTTCTGTTTTGGACATGTTGAGATTAAGTTGCCTATGATAAATCTGATTAGAAATAGCTCTTAAAGGGATTTCTGCCCCTGCCACCACTGTTCTACTGCTGACATTGTTATCTCTCACTTTTCTCAACCACCTTTATATCCATCCTCCACGTAATTGCAGAGCTATTTATCTAAAATAAAAAGCTGACCATGTTTCTCTCCTCCCTAAAATCCTTTAGGATAGAATCTAAACTTAAGTATGTTACTTAATG